TAACTTATTGTGAGTAGTGTATATGTGTGTGTGTGTTATCGGTTATCGGTATCGGCCTTTAGGAGCTGAAAGTTATCGGTTTTAAAAAACTGTTATCGTGCATCCCTATCAGCGTGTATGATGAATTTCTGCTGTGTCATAGCACTGTAATAGAAATGTCATCATATCAAGCTGACAAATTTTATTTGCTTCTAACCCAGTATCCCATTATTAAGATTTAACTTCTTTCTGCTTTTTAGGTGTATCAGTTCCAGAGGGCATCCCTGAGTGGAGTCCGGCTGTTCGAACCCTCCGCAACATCACCAACAACTCTGACATGCAGCCAGCCAATCGACCTGCCAACGTAGCACATGTAAGAAGTCACAATAGTTCTCCCCATACATTTATAGTGGTGGTGTTCCGGAACAGTTTTCTCTGTTTTCTTTCACTGAGGCAACTTTTACTAAATATGCAACAGTGATATTAGTGCTTTGTCTCTGTTTTGACTTCTCTTTCGTCTTCCTCTGTTATAGATCATCCAGAATCTCACAGCCAATCAGACAAAGCCATTGGAGCAGCAGACCAATCAGGGCCATGCTCAGACCCCTAACAGTACCAACCCTCTTCTGTTCAATCAGCCCAAACTGGTTGGCCAGCCCCTCACTGCAGAGCAGCAGCAACAGTTACTGCAACAGCAACAGTCACATCAGGCTGCCCAGCAACAACACCAACAGTTACCACAGCAACCACAGCATCCCATGATGCACCTCCAGCAGCAGCATCAGATGATGCAGCTACATCACCAACAGCAGCAACATCAACAGCAACAGGTTGCACAACAAGGGTTCCCACAGTTGCCCCAACAGCAGCAACAGTTTCTGCAGCAGCAGCAGCAAATGCACCAACAGCAAATGTTCTCCCAGCAACAGCAGCCACAGCAGCAGCAGCAGCAGCAGCAGCATGCATTCTCCCAGCAGCAGCTGCGGCCCCAACAGCTCCCACGGCCTGGTTTACAGCAGCTGCAGCAGCAACAGGTGCTGCAGCAACAGCTCCAGCAGTTCCAACAGCAGCAGCGCATGCAGATGTTACAGCAGCAGCAGCAGCAACAGCAAAATCAACAGCAGTTACACCAACAGCATCTACAGCAGCAGCAGCAGCAGCAGCAGCATTTCCTACAACAGCAACACCTGCAGCAGATGCAGCAGCAGCAACTGCAAAATCAGCAGCAGCAGGCTCTGCAGCATCAGAACCAGCAGGCCCTGCAGCAGCAGACGTCACTGCAGCCTCACCTCCAGCAGACTCCTAACATCTCCCAGCTGTTTGGACATGAGCCAGGACAAGACAGTGAGTACAGTTTTATGGCTGCTTGCGTTTTGTCTATTTGCATGTGTGTTCTTACGTTGCAGTGCATTGAGCTCTCTCTGCCACCATACAAAATGGAGAAAAAACAAGATGCATTTTTAAATTTAATCAGCATAATGTGGAGAACTATTTGATAATTTGGTCTAAAAAGATCTTGGCATGACTTTCTTTTACCTAAAGATTCACTTGTGTTCTTTCTGTTTTAATTTTCAGTTCCACAGGATGGCTTTTTGCTGGGCTGTGTGTTTGCTATTGCTGACTACCCAGAACAGATGGCTGACAAACAACTCCTGGCCACATGGAAGAGGGTCAGTCACACAAAGAGCAAGAAGATGATAGTGTTAATTTAGAATTGCCTGGGATGAATGAGCCAGCTTATGTTGTGAGTGGTGATATTCATAATGAAACAAAACATGAGACACTGGGACCTATATATGGACCTGTACTTGTATAGATGTTTAATGTGTTTAAAAAAAGAAATAGTCTGTAGTGGCTTAAAAACCATCCAGCGCCACATAGTAACATGCAGGGATTATCATTACAATGCACAAACAATAACAAAAATCCATTGAAAAAGATAGAGTATTTCCATTCTGGTATTTTGTTGCAGGTGTGTGGTTGTTTTTTGCTACTCCCGTCATAGTTGTGTGGTCCAAAAAATGGTGAATTTTTTTTTTGTGCAAAAAAAAAAAGGTGACGTCCTCAGATGTTTTGTTTTGTCCATAACCCAAAGATAGATTTAGATTTTTTTTAGATTTTTTACTTTATTAATCCCCTATTGGAGATATTCAGTTTACTGCCATGAAAGACTAAAGAAAGTATATAATATTCACAGTTTAGAAGCTGAAATCAGAAAATGTGTAGCACTAAAAATGATTAATTAATGAACAAAATAGTTTGCAATTAAATTCATAGTTGACGGATAATAAACTAATTGTTGCAACTCTAATAAGTAGCCAATAGGAAACCTAGGGGGCATCAAACATAGTAACCATGGGAGTAGAGTACTACGGTATGTATCCATGTAAATAATTATACAATACATACATAACACCATGTCGTATGGTACATATATAAAATTTTAGTTTATTTTTACTGAACCCCTCCCTTAGGTCATCCAGGCATGTGGAGGTGCTGTTGACCCTGCCTTGACCAACCGCTGCACGCACCTGCTGTGTGAGAGTCAAGTCAGCAACATGTATGTACAGGTAAGGATGTGTGCTATCTGAACTCTACTCTAACACTATTAAACATGCAGTGTGAGTCTGTATCTTTTTCACATCTAGGTATAAACTCCAACCCACAGAAATCAGGTATCATATAACAGAGGGAGACAGTATAGAAGGTAATGAGTTCACAGATGAAACACAGGGGAAGGGATTGGCTGAGTATCTAAAAGTTGAATTTCTAGCTTTAGGAGAAAGGGAAGCCTACTGGAAACCACAATAAATGTCAAGTT